TGGAATAGTTTACGTGGCCGTAATTAGAACACGACATTAGACGAGATCAAAAATAAATATGTCTCATTATTCGGATCGAAGATTCAGCCAGCGCGGATTAAACGATTTATCGTTTACAGGCTCACCTATTAATATATGCGCTCCAATATTCCATTTGAGCTATTTTCAAAATAAGCGATTTAAATAAATGTAATAAAGAGAAGTGCATGTTATGCGAGTAATTTACAAGTGTAATCCACGTTTTTGCGGATCGAGAGAGCGATTTCATGAAGATTTTATATTATTTATGATGATTGGATGATCGCAACGCACACAAATACATAATTAACCGCAAGTACATTTGGTTTAATGGAAACGTGGATGCGACCTGATTCGTCCAATAAGTGATCATATTGTAGCGATCTTGCATATAATAAATTCACGTTTAAATGGAGGATAACGAGACCATTCTCTTCGTAAGCGTAAAAAGGTCGTACGCGCTGTTTGTACGATCATAATTAACCGGCGCGTTCTTTCCTCTCAAACTTTTTTTTTTTTTTCCCCCGGTACTCTCTTTCGCCAGTGAGTAATTAATCGCATGGCGCGCGAATGACGTTTTATTTAATTTCGTCATTATATCTGGCTTCAACCGTACGAACGTGGGGGAGAGCCGACAGTAATAATTAAAATCTTTCGGTTCGACAGCTCGCGCATTGAACCGTGCGACGAGATGGGAACGTATTGTACAAGAGCGCAAAGGTTCAACGATGGGGGTTTGGTTTCATTAATATTTTTCATTCGAGCAAAAAGTAACGCTACGCTTTGCGTCCGTGTAATTGTGATGAACAACTATTTTCGTCTGACAAACCAGTTCGCACATACACGTTCATCGTTCATCCCGTATAATTGTCCCAGCTCGTATCATCGAATCGTTTCGCAAACAGGCTCAGGCTCGAACTTAATTTGCGAACTTAATAATAAATCCTTCGGATTAGCGAATATTAAAATGTTTTCTCGTCTCACTTCTCGTAAATTTGCCGTATATATTACGCATAAAATAAGTGGGTAAAAGACTCGCGACACTCAAAGTGCGTTTCATGCCTACGACTATATTACGTCGAATGCATTAGGCAGCATGCAAATGACTGTCGGCGCGATTTAATTGAAAATGTAATAATCCGGTTGGTTGTTAGCAAAGGCAAGATTAAAAAGCCGCCGTCTCTAAAGTTTTCAGGGATTCTCACGAACGGGGCTCGCAGAGTTTACGAATTTAATATAAACGGTATCCCCTGGCATACACGTTTGAAGATTAGAGTTTGCTCATGAAAGAAAATTGGTATGCGTATAATCGATGCAAATATTTTATCGTGTTTGTTTGATGTTCCGAGAGATACATACTTTTTTAACAAACATTTGACTCTTTTGCGCTGATATTTAACAGTCTTTAATAAATAATTAATGGATACCTAAATGAATTTAGTATTCATAATTGATCACTATTCGATGTTTAATTGCAATTATATGAATCTATGATTATTTTGCAATGTTCACTTTTCAGGAATTTATATTTATAATTACTGATTATCTAATTGACTATCTATGTCAATTGAACATTTGTCTATCTAATATGTGATAATTAATCATTAACGTGATTTGAATGTTGTGAGAGATTCTCTTTTCGATTAGTCTATTATCTTTATACAACTAATTAATTGTATTATTTGCTTGTACAATTGATAGATCTTAGATATAAAATAAATCTAGAATAAAGATGTAAAATGCAACCTTACAATTAGTAATTAATTAGATAGTGTAATAAGAATTCTATCTATACATTATAACTTCACTTGAAAAATCAATCATTCTCCGCAATGAATGAGAATCGACTATGAATACTAATGACAGATTTTTCGAACAGTAATTCGTAGAATAGAGGCGGATATATGACATATGAATAGGTAATATACATATAATGAATTGCCTATTACATTCAAAATTAATATAGTTTTATTTCCAAATAAATATCTAAATATTTAGTTATTAATCAAGATAAAAATTACAATAAATATTGTTATAAATTATAAACCATTTATTCCACTAATAAGTTAAACTAAACCGTTTATGTGAATAATATACATAAACAGAGGAGGGGTCTAAAATTTCTATGTGAATAAATAATAACAAATGTTACACTCGCAGAACAAATTCAACAAAGTTTAATAACGGTCGAGATTTAGTGACTAAAATATATATATGATTTAATAATTTCCATAAAAATGTTATATTTTAGTCACTAATTTGTTATTATTTATTCTTTTGCTTTTAATTTTGTATACTTATTCTCTGCCCATTACTTTTCTAATGTATTCGTTTGTTAAGATATTTCTTATTTTTAAAGAAGTCTGTGCCGTGCATACACATCACAAGGAAAAACCCAAGTCAATGGCATCCATTCAATTAATTCGTCCTCTTGTTCGTTCTGATGAAATGTCAAGATACGACATCATTACTTCAGGATAAAGTAAAGATATGGAAAGGATGATACTGGAGTAGTTCTCGTTTCCTCATACAACGTATCTACAGATACTCTCGTCCAAGCTTGGATATCATCAGATCAGATAAGTGCGCTTCCGCCGTATAGAAGAATTACAGACCGCGCTACGCCGGGCGCGAAAAAGATGAATCAAGCCTCCCAACGCCTTCTGTTTGACATACAGTACGTTTCAAGTATATCGTTTGTGGAAATAATGCTTATATCGCACGAGATCGGTGGAAGTATCATGCTGGAGGAATACTAATGTGATGAAAAGTCGCTTGTAATGCGTACGGCGAACGCATTACATGAATAGACTAACGGGAAAGATATATGTATAATGAGATATTGATGCTGCCACTATAATTACGTTATTATATCAAACTTATAACTACGAAATTTATTGTTTTCTACTGTAGGAAGTCAGACTTAATATCACCCAGCGGAAATTGTTTATCCCTCTGAATCTAAAGATACGATAGTCTCGCGAGCCTCGTTTATGATCATTTCTCACTTTACTCTCTCTCTCTCTCTCTCTCTCTCTCTCTCTCTCTCTCTCTCTCTCCCCCTCTCTGAAGATAAAAAAGATGTACTTTATCGAAGAAACGTCACCTAATCACATCGATGGAAATCGATAGGTATACTGTTTGACTGCACGTCAAAAATCTGCGAGCTCAACTTAATCACATAATCCTATTCCGATTCTGTTGCTAATTAGTGCAGCATTAAGCACGGAGATTCGAGTCCTTATCTTCGAGTAGGTACTAATGCCGCGATGCATATATGCGTTAACGTTGAGATGTCACGCGTGCACGCGCACGTGCGTATGTGTGCACACATCTGCTTCGATACAGCTGGAGTTTGAGACGATTATCAGGTGCGTATTTGGAGTAATGCGCGTGGTCCGGAGGTTCGTGCGGTCGGTAAACTTCAAGCTATCTCAGATATCCTCTCTCACTCGTTATATCATGACACACGATTAAACAACTAAAATTTCTGCAACACAGCTTGCTGATTAAAAATAAAATGTTAAATTTAACAATGTACTAACGATGCTGTTAAAAGGAAGTTAAAATATTAGCTTTTAAAATTGTTTTTTTCTTATACAAAATATATTTTGATGTGTCATCGAAATCCATATTTGATTATACCTGAAAGGAGCGATTTATTTAATATCGTTAAATTTCGAATGGATAAGTTATTGTGTATTAAATCATGCTTGCATGAGAGAAATTCGATCGAAGTTTATTTCATGTATTATATATAGATACAATGATTTTGATTTTCATGATAAGTGAAGAATCGAAAGATCTTTGCTGCATGGAATATGCTTGGATGATATAAGGTATATATATTTATCCACATGCTTAAAGAGTAGAGTCATACGAGGCAAATGGTAATGTATTAATCTTTTAAATACGCGTCAAACATGCACAGATACGATGGATGTGTATACTATCTATCGCAATCGACGTTATCAAAATTCCGCGTCGCTCTGCACTCGATACCTCGGTCTGATATCGCGGACGCAACCATCCATACAAATCGGATCTTACTAAATTGGAGTACAATTTTCACGAGCGGAGTTCCATGAGCTCGAGCTACGAAGGTAGGATAAGAAAAAAAGAGAAGGGGTGGTAAGATAAAGTCTCTATCCCTCTCTAAGCCGGCCGTGGAAGATGAAGCGAATCAAGTAACAGCGGTGGCTTACGTGCGATGCACCCCTAAACCATCGCTGAGGGAGCATCACGTGGAAATGCGTTACCCACGAAAGGTCTGTGCTTAGAATTCTCAAACCCGCTAAATTATATTTCATGTCACGGAGCCGATGATTCTTGAAATACATAAGCCGCGATGATAATCTCATTTCGTTAGTCTTGTTCGGCAGTGTCGCGACGTCCTTAGCGACGTCCTTAGCTTCCGGAAACTTATAATGATGGAAAGAAATACAGAGTTAATAACGCATGTTTATAGGAGAAAAAAACATACCTAATCAAGATATCTTTTGAAATATTGAGGAGAAATTATGGCAGTTTATATTAAAAGAAAAAATTATACGTCAATCAAATATACACTGAGAAAAAATGTACTATACTTTAATAATTATTTGATTAGTACTTAACATTTACTTACAATCAAATATTTATACTAAATAAAAAAGACGTAAATCGTATGTTTTATTATAAATCGTATATGTATATTACAAATTACATTTAATCGGTAAAACGATTCCATCGGAGTTTAGTCATTGTCCCCTTAAAATGCATAAAATTGTCCATATCTTTCAAAACATAATACTTAAAAAATTTGTATACTATATATTGATACTTGAATTATATAAAAGCGTACAAAGATTAATGTAAAATAATTGATGTTTATATATTCTATTTATAATTACTTACAATCAACACATACACATATTAATCAAATAATATATTGTTCAATATATAATATAATTTTATCTTTATATTTTATGTATATACATATGATATATATATATATGAATATATATATTATAACTGTTGCATATTCTTTAAATTAGATGTTTGTAGCAGAATACTATAAACCGGATGGCGTTTCTTCCAGCCTCATTCTATTAAGTTGTTATTTTCATTTCCAGTATCGAATGAGCTGTTTATTGCGTCGTCATCTTCGGCTGAGTTGATATTCTCATGTCTAAAATTTTTTCAGTTAAAATTATTAATTATTAAGTAATTGTCTAAGCTTCTACATTTTTAATGTAGAAGTCACATTGGTGACTGTATTTACGAGCGTGGTACTTTAACACATATTTACGATTTTAAATCAGAAATATTTCAATCTCCAATAATTTCAATCGATAAGTATCTTAATTTTGACATCTCGAATATATCTAACGTAATCACCAACGAAAGCTATAATTCTCATTTACATTGTTACTACCAGAATTATTGTTGTCGTTGTCGTCGTTGCTATTATCAGTTGCGCTGTTGTTTCTATTATTATCATTGGCTGTGCTGTTGTCTCCATTGTTATTAAGCGTATTGTTTTCATTTCCATGAATGGGTGCATTGTTTCCATCGTTATCATTGGATATGGTGTTGTTTCCATTACTACTTTCGGGTGCGCCATTGCTTCCATCGCCATCTTCAAGTATGCTGTTTCCATTACTGTTTTCTCCATCGCCACTTTTGGCTGAGTTGTCATTTTCATCCGTAGCATCAGGTGCGGTGTTTTCCTCATCTTCTATTGGATTGTTATTTCCATCCCTGACATCGGATGTGATGTTTTCTTTATCCTCAGCATTGGATGCGCTGTTTCTTGCGTTGCTATCTTCAGCTGAGTTGGTATTCTCATCCTCGGCATCAGATGTTTTGTTTCCTCCGTTGTTACTTTCGGCTGAATTGTTATTTTTATCCCCTGCGCTGTTGTTCCCATCCTTGGTATCAGGTGCGTTATTTCCTCCGTTTCCATCTTTGGCTGAGTTATTTTCATTCTCAGCATCAGGTGCGTTGTTTCCTGCATCTTTGGAATCGGGTGCACTATTTCCTCCATTGCCATCTTCGGCTGAGTTGTTATTTCTATTTTCTGCATCGGGTGCACTGTTGTTCTCATCCCCAGTATTGGGTGCGTTGTTCCCATCTTTGGTATCAGGTGCACTGTTTTCTTCTTTTCCATTTTTGGTTGAGTCATTATTTTCATCCTCAGCATCAGGTGCATTGTTTCTTCCATCCCCGGCGTTGGGTGCACTATTTCCTCCATTGCTATCTTTGGCTGAGTTGTTATTTCTATCCTCTTCATCGAGTGCGCTGTTGTTTTCATCTTTGGCATCAGGTGCGTTGTTTCCTTTGTTGCTATTTTCGGCTGAGTTGTTACTTCTATCCTCTTCATCGAGTGCGCTGTTGTTTTCATCCTTGGCATCAGGTTCGTTGTTTCCTTTGTTGCTATCTTCGACTGAATTGTTACTTCTATTTTCTTCATCGAGTGCGCTGTTGTTTTCATCCTTGGCATCAGGTGCGTTGTTTCCTTTGTTGCTATCTTCGGCTGAGTTGTTATTTCTATTTTCTTCATCGAGTGCGCTGTTGTTTTCATCCTTGGCATCAGGTGCGTTGTTTCCTTTGTTGCTATCTTTGGCCGAGTTGTTATTTCCATTTCCTACATCAGGTGCGCTATTTCCTCCATTGCCATCATTGGCTGCGTTGTTATTTCCATCTCCGACATTAGGTGCACTGTTTCCTTCATTGCCACTTTCAGCTGAATTGGAATTTTTATCTCCTGCATCAGGTGCGCTGTTTCCTTCATCTCTAGCATTGGATGCACTGTTTCCTCTATTATCACTTTCAACTGATTTATTTCTATCCTTGTCTCCTGCATCAGGTGCACTGTTTTCATCAGGTGCGTTGCCATCCTTGGCTGAGTTGTTATTTCCATCTCCGGCATTGGGTGCGTTGTTCTCTTTATTGCCACCTTCGGCTGAGTTGTTACTTCTATCCCCTGCTTCGGATGCACTATTGTTTTCATCTTCGGCATTGGGTGCACTGTTGTTTTTATCCCCAGCATCAGGTGCGTTACTTCCATTGTTTTCTTCACTATTTTCAGAAGTTTCAGATGTGTTCTTACTTTCTTCGCTACTAGATGCGCTGTTATCTTCATTATTAGGTGTCTTGATAGTTGTACTTGGAGCAGGTGTTGTTAAAATACTTTTTGCAAAACCTTCCACGTGTACATGCATTCCTTCTCCATGTCTTCCAATAACCATTATAACCATATTTGTCCGACTGAGTCTTTTCGGTATAAATCGAGTTCGTTGATTTCCGATATTTGTGATTTTAATATGAGTGAGTATCGCATTGTCTGGAGCTCTTACACCTATTGTGATTATCATAGGCTTGATAAAGGGAGGCTGCAATTTATAAATAGGATATTAGTTCATGAATAAGATATTAATCATAAAATTATGAGACTGTGTGAGAAATACTTTTATTTGGTTATTTAAAATCTAAGTATCTAAAACTGTATTACCACTAAAATTTACGAATAATGGATAAAATAACTGTAACAGTGCATTGTGTAATTTATGTTTTGTCTTATACTTATGTTTTAAGTAAAATTAATGTAATTGATTGATATGATATAAAGGTCAATTAAATTCAAATAGGAAATTCAAGACATATCAGATATGAGACTTAATGCAATATTTTAATAATATGTACAAAATTTGACATATTTATAATACCAAGAATATAGAAGGGAAAATTAAAGTCTAGTTCGAATATAATATATGTGTAAAACGTTTAAAATTTTAACATTCTAATAAATTGATATAAAAATATAAATATAATTTAAAAAACTTAATGCTACATTGTATTACATTACATGTTTCGGTATCATAATTGTGCCATCATCAGATGTTTAAAATTCGCAGGGCAGAAACGCAGTGAAAAAGTCAGTATTAATTATTATTTATACATGTAAATTAAAATATTTAAAAGCTTTCTGTGAAATTTGATAATTAAAATTTGAATTATAAAAGATGAATTGTTCTGTTTCTTTATTTAATATATATGTACATGAAATAATTACAATTGAATCAGTTATTTACCTTAATAATAACTCTGTCAGTAATGAGATAATCGTCTTCTTGACGTTCACCTATGACAAAGTCATTCCGATAAGTTCCTATTGGGCTGCAAACAGCCAAAGTAAGACACAAAAGCACAGTAAATAAAATCCTCATCTTAGAAAGCTAATTGTGAAGCCGTCCGTTGACTAAAATCATACTGTTCAACTGGTACTTCCCGAATGTATTTATATCTTTGCGTTATCAATTCTCATACTTGGCTCCACAAAGAATTGCACCATATTAACTCTCAGATTTCTATCTCGACAATGACAATAGCTTATGTAAGGTTATTTGTTTCATCTTCTGTTTCATCTTCCGTTTCATCTTTCTTGCAGGTTGTAGAAATTTCTCGGCATGATGTGTTTTCATTCTTTTAGATACTGAGAAAGGAGGAAGCGAGCACTAATTACTTAAATATAATTATACTTTGAGAGATTTTATAATTTTTAATTTATTTTTATTTTATTGCATGATGTATTTTATATATTTAAAGAAGTATTACTAATTTTTATATTTAATTATATTACGATTAAAAGAGCTATATTATCATATTAAATAAGCTATAGTATACACAAAATGATTTCATGAATGACTGAATATAATATAGCTTATAAGAAAAGTAATAACAAAATAGATTTATATTTTCAAAATTGTTTAATGTGTGTGGTTCTCTAAATATTTTATCAGGATGAAAAAAAATTAGTGCTATATATTATGTATGTATTGATAAAGGACGCTTTTTTATTTGTATTATATAATATAGATGGATATATTACAGCATTCTATTTTTCATAATATTGTGACAAAATTGACAGTTAATAAAAATTAGGGATGCACCGGATATCCGGCTAGTATTTGGTTTCCGGCAATATATGCGGCCAAAATTTTATATTGAAATTACGCTCGACATTATGTGAATATCCTGAAAACTTTTATTATCATTGATATATTTTTTAGAAATATAGTACTGGATATCCCTAATTTTTATTAAATATCAATTTTATGATATAATATCATAAAAAATAGAATACTGTAATATGTCATCTCTAATAAAAATATCATCTTTGTTTCACGTGATATTATCTTTCTGGAAACTTACATATTTTCAAACATTTCCAGCTCATCGTTATATTAAGGCTGCTCATTGGGGGTCTGATAACGTAAATACCATTGATAAACACTACAGGTGTCATTAATAGTATCAGAGTTTTCTGACGTAAATGCGTGTTTAATCAGAATTAAATATCACTACCGAAAAACAACGTTTAAGAGATATCGCGCATGATTTCTGCGGAATTGTGGAATATTTCAAAGTTTTTACACGTTTATAGGCATGTCTTACTCGTTTATATATATATAATATATACATTCATGCATAAAATGTATATTTCAAGATTTTTAATTTAGTATTTCCAGATATAGTTACATAATTAATCATCAAAAATCTTTATGAGCATCATCTTGTAAATATCTTCGCTTTAACAATTAATTATTATTTTTACTTTTTATTTCTTCTGTTCGCATCAATAATGTCGTCGCGACTTTTTTCTGATCTTCGCAACTCTGTCGACCATATCGCGCAAATTAATTCCTTTTCATAAATTCAACGCGAAGGAACGTTTCATATTCAACGCCATAACTCGAAACGTGTTCCTCGGTACGTGTATAATCTCGAATCTCAGACTCATCATTTTCAGCCGCGTCAGCTTATGGTACGTGAGACCGTAAGAATTAGCTAAGTGAGTAGCTACGGTAGTAGCTCTACAGCTTTTACACATGCAGAACCGGTGGTAGACTTGGCTGAAACGAACGAATCATACGAAATTAACAAACAGCTTATCCTATCATCGAAAGATATAACTTACAAATATTTTCCTATGTAGACAATGACGATCGTTTAATAGCTGGTAGACGTCGAAAAGCGTTTCCGCTCTACCACTGACAATTTCTGAGAGCTGCTAAGAAAGTATAAAATCTTTTTTAAAATTCAGCCCTAATAACGAATTTGAAATTCATATTCGCGACGTTAAACACTGCCGGGAAGTGGTTAGATTCAACAAAAGATCATTAATCTCATTCTTTTTAATACTTATGTATAATTTCTTTTCTCTATTAAAAGTATTGATTTGTTGCAAGGTATATTGCATTTAAATCTTTGATGATTAATAATTGATATCTTAGATAAAAGATTTATAAAATGCATAATAGGATATTATTAATAGAGCAATATGCAATCTATTGGGAACATATTCGGTAATAATACAATGCGTTATAAAATTGAAACAATAGATTCATATGCGATTCAGGGTGGAGTGTATTATACATTAATTTTCATGAAAAAAGTACGAATGAATTCAATTCATCCGCAAAGAAATATAAAATGTTTAATCCTATTAATTTGTGAATCGTTATAATTCATGGTTTTATAAAAAGATACGTACTTTTTTATGAGAGATTCAATTTAAATACTATAAAAATGAATTTTTAACTGATATTTATATTGAGGGTGTATGCAGGTACAAAATTTTTATTAAAAATTATCAGAGAAATTGTCAGATGAATATTTCATCGAATAATGATTTTACAATTGTATATCTATAATCATTATGTAATTTGATACATATTATTGATCGACATACATACACAAACACGCTTATGCATTTATTTCGGCATTTATAAAAAAAAAAGTTTTCTCTAACTACTATACTATATGCTACGTAAAGTTTCGAAAAAAAACGTGTAAGTTCAACATTGAACTGATAAGAAATCTTATCTCGTTGAGATCATGGTCGTTATATTCTCATTATTTTGTTCGGTTAGCGATCTAAAAGTAACCAGTGAGTGAATCAGAGATATGCCCTCTGTATTTCACTCGAAATGTTTGTCGTATGTAAACTGTAATTAAATCGAATTGTAAATATTTTCTTATAACAAACGTAGTACGTTTTATTCAAGATTTATTTTATGCAATCACATTCTAAATTACGTGTTCATTTATATAAATGCTTAGATAAATTAAACTACAATTAAGTATATAAGATTACTTTTTTTAAAGAGCTTTAATTAATAAATTTAAATTATCAATTTAGTTTTTAAAAGCTTCTTTCAGATAGCAATCACACGACCATTAAAATAATAAGAATATGTATCGAATCTCTTATTTATAAACTTAAGAATAGAATTTCATGCGATGCTGTTGTGTGTTAGTTAAGGGAGAGAAGATGCTTAACGATCGCCTTTGAAACGTTTTTCGTACCAATATGTAGATGCATTGCATCATCGCATCCTCTGCATATATGTTCACGCGGCTGCTGGTAATTACTCACGTCACGTGTAGCCGCATTGCTGGCCACGGATACCATTTTTTATACTATCAAGAGGTGCCAACAGCCCGCGCAGTCCGCCATCCAGCCCGTAATATCAGCCGATGCTTTTTATTAACGCCGAGAAGAAGAGAGACCGTGTATCGATCCAATAAACGCCGTCACGTCGGATCGGGCGAGAACAATCGCTACAGAGGATAAAATTCTCCGCTTGATCTGACCGCGAGTGGGAATGGCACGTCACGTACTAGCGATCTCTTCTTTCATTAACGTTACGAACGTTTCACGCATCGCTCCTAATCACTGCCCGCGAGTACAAGCTATCACGAACATCGTGAAAAGAAACCTGCCTGCCGTTCCCTCTTTCTCCCATTTACACGCGCGTGTATGCCCTTGTTTCTATATACGATTCCCGTCGGATTCTCTTAAATCCCGACTGTAGTTTCTCGGGTTAATTCATTATCAACTTAACTCATTATTTTTTATTTTATTCTTTAGAGATCTGTAAAAAGTTTAACATAATGAAAAATATCTTGTTAGACGTATAGGTTATACATAAGTTAAATTGAATATTTTCCTTATATTTTAGAAGCTTGTTCTTGAATTATGGTATTCTTTACTTAACAGCTTCATTAATGATTATCAAACGAATTAAGCTCTTGGGAATGATATCATCGCGAAATTATAAATGCTTTCCACTGCGTTATATATTTAGACACTTTTTTGTACATTGATTTTCTCTATCTTATTTCTGTCTTAAAACGATTCTGTCTTATCAGCATTATTTTATGAGCTATTCTTATAATTTTATAAACATTTTTATTTTTCTATTAAATTTGACGAAATTTTCTAGGCAAAATGAATTGTCCAAAGTATATTTGATTCATCGTCAGTGGAACTAATTTCATCATATGCTGACATTATTATTTCACGTCCATTATTGTCCACGCGTGTTGCGTAAAAATAGAGAATTTTATCCGCTTCACACTATAAATTTTCAAAAGCCCGATGTCAATCAGAGCATCAATTCGATAAATATTGAACTAGGTGGGGTATCAATCAACCATCAATGCGTCTTGTCCTGAGCAGACACGCAAATGGCTGACTGTGAACATATTCTCTCCTTGCGGTGACACCGATATCGCATACGTATTACGCATCGTTTGTCATCATTATCCGTACCGTAATTAAAACTTTCCGACTTATGATGAAGGATTGCGCGACCTGATTTCCATGAAAATAGAATGGTCATTGTAAATATATCATGCTTTGTCCTATATAAAAACGTAACATTGTTCAAAAACTGTCATAACACAATATACTAATATAACATAAAGGCATGTAACAGAGTAGTTATTGTTCGCCGCAAGAGACTGCATCGTTTGCAATTATATGAATTAATAAATAAAAACAAATATTTGCTAAATAATAAATATTTTATTATACTAAATTATATTTACTAAATAAATGAATAAATTATAGAAGAATATAAATACATTTATCAAATATATCTATTGTTAATATAGAAATTATATAATAATGAGTCATAAAATAAAAATATAATAATAAAATATACAACAATAAGAAGTAGTGAAAAATAGTAGTACGAAATAGTAATATGTTGAAAACCTTGTTCTTGAACTTCTATTCTCCTTGTTACAGCTTCATTATCAGATGAGATAAGCTTTTGCAAATGATATCATCGCGAAATTATACTTTCCAATTATACATTTATGCTCCCAACTCTTCCATGAATATTGCTGATTAACCCTTCCACCACACACGGGGTCCCAGGGACCCCAGTCTCGGTTCGCGCTTCGATT